GCTGTCTGGGCTGTGTGGGCTGTGGGGGCTGTCTGGGCTGTGTGGGCTGTGTGGGCTGTGTGGCCTGTGTGGCCTGTGTGGCCTGTGTGGGCTGTAGGGGCTGTGTGGGCTGCGTGGGCTGCGTGGGCTGCGTGGGCTGCGTGGGTTGCGTGGGTTGCGTGGGCTGCGTGGGCTGTAGGGGCTGCGTGGGCTGCGTGGGCTGCGTGGGCTGTGTGGGCTGCGTGGGTTGCGTGGGTTGCGTGGGCTGTGTGGGCTGTAGGGGCTGTGTGGGCTGTGTGGGCTGTGTGGGCTGTGTGGGCTGTGTGGGCTGTAGGGGCTGTGTGGGCTGTATGGGCTGTGTGGGCTGTGTGGGGTCTGGCACTGCGTTCACTTCTCATTGAGGAAGTGATTTTCCAAGTCTCGCCGCTGCAGGAGACTTTGTAGAACTCATCAGCAGGCCACGCACTCGCCACGGCGACTCATTTCCTACGCCCCCTTCATCTCCGCTCTCCAGGAAGCCGTCCATGCCTCCTCTTCTTCCTGCGCCCTTGGGCATCCACATTCCCTTCTCCCCTACAACCGGTTCGTCACCATCGTCAGGTCAGCCATGGTCAATCCACTGCTGGATGAAGACCTCATCAAGCTACTGCCTCCAGCAAATGTGTTAAAGCCAGGCGAGGCTTCGAGAGACCAGGCAATGACTCGTATTTGCACGAGTGAGTGGGTGACGGATTGAGGGAGGAGGTGAGTAGGTGACTGACCGAGTAGGTGATTGATACAGTGAGTAGGTGAGTGGGTAACTGATCCAGTGAGTTGGTGACTGATCGAGTGAGTAGGTGTGTAGGTGACTGACCGAGTAGGTGACTGATACAGTGAGTAGGTGAGTGGGTAACTGATCCAGTGAGTTGGTGACTGATCGAGTGAGTAGGTGAGTAGGTGACTGACCGAGTAGGTGATTGATACAGTGAGTAGGTGAGTGGGTAACTGATCCAGTGAGTTGGTGACTGATCGAGTGAGTAGGTGTGTAGGTGACTGACCGAGTAGGTGACTGATACAGTGAGTAGGTGAGTGGGTAACTGATCCAGTGAGTTGGTGACTGATCGAGTGAGTAGGTGAGTAGGTGACTGACCGAGTAGGTGATTGATACAGTGAGTAGGTGAGTGGGTAACTGATCCAGTGAGTTGGTGACTGATCGAGTGAGTAGGTGAGTAGGTGACTGACCGAGTAGGTGATTGATACAGTGAGTAGGTGAGTGGGTAACTGATCCAGTGAGTTGGTGACTGATCGAGTGAGTAGGTGAGTAGGTGACTGACCGAGTAGGTGATTGATACAGTGAGTAGGTGAGTGGGTAACTGATCCAGTGAGTTGGTGACTGATCGAGTGAGTAGGTGAGTAGGTGACTGACCGAGTAGGTGATTGATACAGTGAGTAGGTGAGTGGGTAACTGATCCAATGAGTTGGTGACTGATCGAGTGAGTAGGTGAGTAGGTGACTGACCGAGTAGGTGATTGATACAGTGAGTAGGTGAGTGGGTAACTGATCCAGTGAGTTGGTGACTGATCGAGTGAGTAGGTGAGTAGGTGACTGACCGAGTAGGTGATTGATACAGTGAGTAGGTGAGTGGGTAACTGATCCAGTGAGTTGGTGACTGATCAGGTGAGTCGGTGAGCAGGTAACCAATCAAGTGAGTAGGTGAGTGATTGAGTGAGTCGGTGACTGACTGAGATGATTCGCGAGGACTGATCATGGCTGGCTGATAACGATGAGTCCCCCCGAGCAACCGTACTTGCTTTGCCTGTGCATATGCAGCACTCATCAGCCGACCAATCTGACACAACAGTTGAGCACTTACATTGTAATAAAAATAATGAGGAGAAGTCATTTTTCAGAAAGGAACACGATGACATGTCCAGCCGTTCGAGTCACCGTTTACTATAATCGCTTTCCTAAGGTGGAAAGCACGAAGCAATTAATGTAACTGCTCTGTCCATTTGCGTGGAGTGGAGAACGGTCAAGGTAACTCTCGTGAAAATGATCAAACATCGTTTCCTAATTATGTCAACTCGCAAAGCTGCTGCCTCCACATGCCCACTCCCCGCTCTCAAAGAGAGAGGAAGGTCGACTCGAGAAAGAGAGAGAGAGAGGACGACTCAGAGAGAGAGAGAGACAGAGAGAGAGAGAGGCAGAGGATGACTCAGAGAGAGAGAAAGGACGAATTCAGAATTCAAATCAGAGACAGAGAGGACGACTCAGACAGAGAGAAAGAGGACGACTCAGAAAGAGAGAAAGAAGATGACTCAGATACAGAGAGGACGACTCAAAGAGAGAGAGGACGACTCAGAGAGAAAGGACGACTCAGAGAGAGAGAGATGACGACTCAGACAGAGAGAGAGAGAGGACGACTCAGAGACAGAGAGAGAGAGAGGACGACTCAGAGACAGGGAGAGGACGACTCAGAGAGAGAGAGGACGACTCAGAAACAGAGAGAGAGGACGACTCAGAGAGAGAGAGAGAAAGAGGACGACTCAGAGACAGAGAGAGAAAGAGGACGACTCAGAGACAGAGAGAGAGAGAGAGGACGACTCAGAGAGAGATAGGATGACTCAGAGAGAGAGAGGACGACTCAGAGAGAGAGAGAGAGAGAGGACGACTCAGAGAGAGAGAGAGAGAAAGGGGGTAGAGAAAGAGAAGGGGTAAGGAGAGCAGAGCGTGAAATCTTTTGTGAAATCTTTCATTTTAAAAGCATAAAAAAAACGAAATGATGAACGAAGCAAAGTGCCGACTACACCGAGCATCTTCTTCTTTCCTCTGATCGTAACAAAAAAGAGAGAGAGAGGACGACTCAGAGAGAGAGGACGACTCAGATAGACAGAGAGGGCGACTCAGAGAGAGAGAGGAAAGACGAATCAGAGAGAGAGAGAGGGAGGACGACACGGAGGCGCCAGGAGGAGGAACCACAGACAAGCGGGAAGGCAGCTGTAGCAGCCATGCGTTGAGGAAACGGGCGTTACCAACAATTGCCAAAGCTCTGCATTCCTCTACATGTCAAGGTGTTATCGCCCAAATTTAACGAGCGCTTTTCCGCGAGAGAAGACCGGAGCGCCGGGAGAAAACCCACGCGCGAAAACGGGGTAGCAACACTCAATCCCACACAGAAGCGACGGACGGAGATTATCCCGCACGTTGCCGGACAGCCTTCTCCTGGCAGAGCGAGGGTTCGGCTCCCCCTCGACGCCCACTTAGAGGGGTTTCCCCACGGCTGTGGACCGCAATCCATCAAACCTCGCCGCTGCTTGCTGCCTCCACAGCGCTGGCTCACGGGGGTGACGAACAAAACAACTTCAGCGCGTCTCTGTTAGGGAATTGCCCTGCAGGGAAAGCTGGCAAATTGATCAAAGGTTTATTGCTAAAACCACCGGGGGCAAGGGGGGTGGAGGTGGGGCATGAGGGGAGGGGGGGTGGGCCATAAAACCAGGGGCTAAAAGGGTTCTTGCCGCGGTTGTTTGTGACTTGGCGGCCGATTCGAGCCCCCCGCTGCCGTGGCGACGATGCCAGAAGTCGATCGACCGCGCGAGGGGGTCGTCGGGCAGTGCGCTCGGAAACAGAGCACAAACTCCGTCAGGGAGCAGAAAGCATCACGTGAGCTCCGGTGAGCCTTGCAAGCGGTGGCTTTTGGCTAGCCGTCGTACGAAGGACGAGTCACCGCATCGCGCGCCTTGAGATGCGCGCTTTTGTGGCCACATGGAACGCTTCTCTTTCCGATATTAGGAAGTCACCGGAGCTACGCTCTTTTAAATCATCCAGATTGGAAACTCGTTTATTTAGAATCTTGTTTTCGTCTAGATTTGCAGTTTTCGTGACTGCAGGGATTCGTACTCTTTGGTTCTTTCGGTAAAGTCACGTAGGTAGAAAATAAAATAAATTGAATCACGACGTTTCAATTGAAACACAAGCAATCATCATCAGGTGGGAAAACCACAGCAATATTTTTTTTTGCTGAATTGTGTTGTCCTTCCCCCCGCACCTTCGATTCGCACGGTTGGCTACGTAAAAATGGCAAATTAAACACTCTTGGGGGGGAGGGGGGGGTCAGTGTGCGGTGACTATGGTAACCACCCAGAAAGGAACCTTGGAATGCACAACGATGGCTGGATGTTCCAATTCTCAAACACGAAGGAATCATCATCATCATCACAGCTGTGATTCACTACTCTGATACGCCTGACGCAATCATCTGGCTCAACCACCTCAGTAGGACCGTGACAGACGGCCAGGGCTTCGAGGGGGGGGGGGGGGGGTGGGGGGGAGGGCCTTCATCCAGCAGTGGAGAGATCACAGATTACGATGGTGCGGTTAGTGGCTGGGAAGAGGCTCGCAATGCACTTGCTCAGAGCGGAGAGAGAGAGAGAGTTCAGAGAGAGAGTTCAGAGGGAGAGAGAGAGTTCAGAGAGAGAGATCCCGGAGAGAGAGCTCGTCGCCTCCACTCCGCAATCGTGGCCAAGGGCTCCCTCTCCTGGCGCGGCTCAACGGCGCGGCGGCGGCGGCGCGCAGTTGAGCCCCGACCCGCCCACTGAACGCTGTCGCGGTCGCGTCGCACCCAGGGCCACGCGCGGCCCCGTAGCGAGCGCCGGCCGCGAGGACGCGGTCCGTGCCTGTCGGGTAACGAGCGAGTCCGCAGCGGGGAGCGGAGCTCACGCGGTGTCCGTCGTAGGCGAGGACGCGGCACGGAGGCCGAGGCTCCCGTCCCAGGGTTCGGTGACGATCGCGGTGGCTCAGATATCCTCCGGCTCCCCGAGGCTTCGATGTCACGTCAAGAGGCTCGCAGAGCCAGACGAAGGCTGCCCTCGGGTTCGGTGCCCATCACCGAGGCTCACGGAGCCAGACTAAGGCACCGAGGATTCGGTTGGCGGCGTTGCTCTCGCGCGTCGTTGGTGGCACGAGCACGGAGAGCACACCCCCCCCGAGTACCCCCCCCCCCCCACCGTGCCAGACGTGGTGCACGCGCGTGTGGTTCCCCCTACCTTGGCGAGCGCCTCGTCGATGGTGATCTGCCGGTCCTTCACCATGTTCATGAGGCGGATGCGGTCCTCGTCGCACATCGTGATTTCGCTCGCCACGAAGCGCACCGCCACCGCTCCTCCTCCTCCTCCTGCGCAGGGGAAGAGGGAGGAGGAGGGTGGTGATGATGATGGTGGTGGTGGTGGGGATGATGATGGAGACAGTGGCGTAGCTAACAACGCTCGCAGCTCAGGGGGTGCGGCAATCGGCCAGACGAGGTCCCGATGTTTCATTTTGTCTCGCACGGTCGCACCTAGGATATTACATATCACAGCTCCTCTTGCCTAATCGCATCATGACACGAGTGTTGTTGTTCTTTGACACCTGTTGCTGAAAACATATCTCACGGGTGGGGGGGGAGGAGGCAAGGCACCCCCTGCCCCACGCTGGTTATGCTACTGGGTGAGAATCACGGAGAGGCGGGGGAAGGAGGAGGGGCGGAACGCAGCGAGCGCTCCACCAACTCCTGAGTGAGGCCACGGGGGAAGAGGCCACGTCTGGTGGTGTGGTACCGGCACAGCGCCGGACACCGCGAACGCGCCGGGGTCACGCGCCGGGGTCACGTGCCGGGGTCACGCGCCGGGGTCACGCGCCGGGGTCACGCGCCGGGGTCACGCGCCGGGGTCACGCACCGCCACTCGAGCTCCTCTCGGATGGGGGGGGGCGGGGTGAGGCAGGAGGGGGTGGGCACGGTAACAGTGATTTACTTTTAAGGAATGGAAACCTGGGTGGGGGAGCCAAGGGGGGACATTTGGTGGTGCAGGGTGTACCCAGCCCCCCCCCCCCCCACTGCCTACACCCCCCGCACACCCCCCCACCCCACCCCACCCCACCTCTCCCCGCCGGGCCCAGAAAGTCCTCTCCGAGTCTCAAAAATATTTTCCAGGAGGTTCATGCTCGGAAAGGGGGGTGGGGGTGTGGTGGGGTGTGGGGGGGGGACACTAAAGCCTCGCTACCCACGTGACCACCAGGGGGCTGCCACCACCGCCGCCACGCAACCGTGACATTTTTAAACCGAACGCAAACCAAACCTCCGGGCGCCGGAGGGAAGAGGCGGGGGAGAGCCGGGGGGGGGGGGGGGGGGTCGGGAGGCATCACCTTTGCTGTGGCCGTCAGCTCTCGGCACCGAGGCCTTGGGTGACTTGCGCAGGCTCTGCCAGAACGTCTTGCTCCGGCGGCGGCCGTCGAACTTCCCTGCGGGAGTGGGCGGGAGTGGAACGCGGGCGGGAGAACGAGAGGGGGAGAGAGAGGGGGAGAGAAGGCGTGTGTGAGGCCGGAGGACTGCGTCCCAGACGCGCGCTCCTCGAGCGCAGAATTGAGCATGGCCGACGGGCCGCCCACTTGGCTATGTAGGGTGCGAAAGAAGTTCAACATGCATAGACACCTGCTCACTCACCTACTCGCCGCCCATTGACTCAGCCGCCCACCCACCCACTCACCGACCCACCCACGGTACCGACGCCGCCCCACTCATCGACCCGTTCACCCACCCATTCACTCACCCACTCACCCACTCAATCACTCACTCACCCACCCACCCACTCACCCACCCACTCACTCACCCACCCACCCACCCACCACTCAACCACTCACTCAACCACTCACTCACCCACTCACCCACCCACCCACCACCCACTCACCCACCCATCCACTCTGCAGAACAGGGAGCGAGACAAACACAGAGACACCGCGCGAGAAAATCCGCCCGAGTCGGGGAATCGAACGCAGGCCGCTTTGCTGCTGCGAGGCCACGAGCATTACAGCCGTGCCGCCACCCTGGCAGTCCGCCCCCATCGCGTCGGCACACGTGTCGGCACGCGTGTCGACACGCGTGTGCCGGCGTCGAGACAGACGACAGCATCTGCTCCAGCGACTGGCCCGGCGGTCGCGTCTGCCCGAGTCACAATTTTGATTCTCCGTCGGCCTTGATGTTTAATTATCCTGCCATCTGCCCGAGGCCCACAAAACATGCGGCGAGCGCACGAGACAGCATGTCGACTCACTATGGATGGGCAGGGGAAAGGGGAGGGGGGTAAATAATCCATAATTTCAATCAAAACTCGCGCGAAGATGAGTTCCTAATGAAACTACGCTGGCCGTAATGAAAGAGTAAATGCTGTTTATCATATAGATGACTTGCAAACATTAATCATAATAATAAAACAGGGACATAGGGCGCTTTGTCAATCCACTGCTGGATGTACCGTCATATCCGCACTGCGGTGGCTACGCAGTAACCTAGCGCTGTTAAAGTAGCGACGGGGATTGGTGGATCACACACGGATGCTGTGATACAACCGTCCCATGGGTGCCGTGGAGGAGCCGCACCCGAGCTCGCCAGGAGAAGGCGGTAACAGCCAAGTGCGGGCTAATATCGTCTGTCCCCTTCTGTACGGGATAGAGCGCTGCTCCTTCGCATGCGTGGGCTTTCCCGGAGTGCACCAGTTTCCTCCCACTCACACACTGCACACACACACTCATCACACACACACCACGCATACACACCACACTCATCACACACTCATTACACACACACCACGCACACACATCACACTCATCACACACTCATCACACACACACCACACACACACCACACACACTATAACTCACACACTATAACTCACACACCACACACACTCACACTCATCACACACACACCACGCACACACACCACACACACCACACACACCACACAAACACACCACACACTCACATCACACAAACACCACACACACACCACACACACACCACACATACACCACACACACCACACTCATCACACACACACCACACACCACACACACACACACACACCACACACACCACACACACACCACACACCCAACACACACCACACACTCATCACACACCACGGCGCTAACCGTCTCGCCGGAGACCGAAGGTAGCAATTGAGGCGGAACAAAACGAAACGCACAACAACAACGCACACAATTCCAGTTGCGTCTCATTGTTCCAAATTGGACAGCTGTTTCAAATTTGAATTATAAATCATTAACCCCGCATTGCAATTAACGGCGCTTTATATTTTAATATTAAATCAAATTCATTCTTTTTTTCTCCGCGGAAGCCACGTGGCAGTCCCAATGGATTGTCACGAGCTGTGCCTATTCCAGCATGGCCTTGATGCCACTCTTTGGGGGGGAGGGGAGGAGGGTTTATCCTTAAGGTGTTTTTATTCGCGAGATATTTTTTTTAGTCGTAAGATGTTTGCAGCCAACTCACGACGAGTCGTGTTTGTTATTCGCGTGCGGAGGAAACCGGAGCGCTCGGAGAAAGCCGACGCGTTTCGCGAGGGAGGGCGAAACACTCGATCCCCGTACAGATGGAAACAAGGTGGAGGTTAGACCACACTTTACCGTACTGCCCTATCATAGTGAGCCAGGACTCGGGCTCTTCCTCAAGGCCAACGGGAAGGGAGATGGAACAGATAGAGGTTAGTCCACGAATTTCCGTACTGCCATCCCAGGGTCACGCTGACGCTGGCGGGGAGCGGTGGCGCAGCGCTTAGCGCGCCGCTGACGCCAGTTACAGGTGCCACGTTTTTATTTTGTTCCGTCGCGCCTTGAACTGCGCGAGAAGTCGATAGGCCATGACGGAGCCTCGATGGCGTGCCATTCCCCGCCATGGCTAACGTCAACGGCGTACGAACGGTGAACGTCGATAACTCGGTCGAGGTTGGAAATGTGACTCCGTCGCGGCGGTTGCACGACTCATCGGTCGCCGTCGCCGCCGCCGTCACCACCGCCGTTCGTTGGCTCGCTCGCCGCGTTCGTGCTCCGCCATTTAATTTTCCGCGCATCTCCCCGGCACAATTTTCTCCGATTACACGGCCGCGCGCAGGCACGCGGCCGTTAGCGTGAAGCGCCGGCATGCGGGGACAAAGACAAAGACACAGCCACCCCGCACGACCAACCCTCGGATAACCTCCAACAGGGACGCCGAGTGCTGCTAGCGAGGAGCATTTAGAAGGGCCGGAACGGCTCACGAGGGGGGGGGGGGGGGGGGCTGCGGTGGCCGCGTTAACAAGCGGACGTGACGGTGGTGGTGGTGGTGGTGGTGGCGGTGGTGATGATGATGCGCCCGTAATTGACACTCACCAGTGAGACCGTCATCCACGTTGGCGTTCAGTAAAGAACTCCTGCAAGACAAACGCGCATGGGGATGTCAACGCTCACAGTGTGCCGCAGCCTCACATTCACACCCTACTACAGCCTAACATTCAGCCAGTTAATATTTATTTGCATATTCATATCCATAGTCTTCTACTCCCAGCTTTACACACTACCATCACCATCGCCACACGTTGTTTCGAGCGTGCAAGTTTAACTTGCGCCTTTCAAATTTTCCAGATATACAAACATAGACGTCACTTCAACCGAGATGATGGATTCAAATCGAGCAATCATTGGAAGGATGTAATTAACCAAATTAAAACTTTAGCTGCCGAACAGTTTACTGCTAGGCAGCCAGTTTAGATTTATTTTCATAATCATATTCATATTTCGATTTAAAGCTTTCGTGACTGCAGGGATTCATCTTCTTGGTTCTTTCGGTAAAGTCACGTAGAAGGGAAGTAATAAAATAATAAAAATAAAACATAATAAAACAATTCTCACGACGTTTCGGCCACAACGCAAGGAGCCGTCCTCAGGTGAAAACCAGGTCCGTCGAGGCGACAGAGTCTGAATGCTCGTGTGCTGTTTCATTCAGACTCTGTCGCCTCGACGGACCTGGTTTTCACCTGAGGACGGCTGCTTGCGTTGTGGCCGAAACGTCGTGAGAATTGTTTTATTATGTTTTATTTTTATTATTTTATTGCTTCCCTTCTACGTGACTTTACCGAAAAAACCAAGAAGACATATTCATATTCCCAGTCTGTTACCCCCAGCTTCAAACATTACCATCACCATTGCCACACGTTGTTTTCAGCTTGCACAATTTACCCCCGGCAGCATAACAAACGGCTGCTTAATCTTAGCTTCCTTATCTACTTCCGCCCGCGGCATCACAAAGCTTCAGTTTGAACTCCGTACGTTGCACCCACCCCGTTCCTCACATCGTTGCCTCCCAGCCCACAGCCCGCCCACACACTGACCCTGGCCCCTCCCCTCCCTCCATCCCCCGTGACAATATAATTCCTCGTCACAGCTATCTCTTAGACACACTTAAGCGGTTGTGCTTTCGCTACGTTGTCCCCACCTGAAGATGGACGCTTGTGTTGCGCCCGAAACGTCGTGATTTATTTTATTTCATTTTTTTACCTACGTGACTTTACCAAAGAAAAAACAAAGAGTATGAATCCTTGCAGTCACGAAAGCTTCAAATCTAGAATTCACACCCAACCACAGCCTCATGTTCACAGCCTACCACAGGCTCACACTCACAGCCTGCCACAGGCTCACATTCACAGCCTACCACAGTCTCACACTCACAGTCTACCACAGCCTCACATTCACAGCCTACTACAGCCTCACATTCACAGTCTACTACAGCCTCACTCACAGCCTATCACAGCCTCACACTCACAGCCTACTACAGCCTCACATTCACAGCCTACTACAGCCTCACATTCACAGCCTACCACAGCCTCACATTCACAGCCTACTACAGCCTCACATTCACAGCCTACCACAGCCTCACATTCACAGCCTACCACAGCCTCACACTCACAGCCTACTACAGCCTCACATTCACAGCCTACTACAGCCTCACACTCACAGTCTACCACAGCCTCACATTCACAGCCTACCACAGCCTCACACTCACAGTCTACTACAGCCTCACATTCACAGCCTACTACAGCCTCACATTCACAGCCTACCACAGCCTCACATTCACAGCCTACTACAGCCTCACATTCACAGCCTACCACAGCCTCACATTCACAGCCTACTACAGCCTCACACTCACAGCCTACTACAGCCTCACATTCACAGCCTACTACAGCCTCACACTCACAGCCTACCACAGCCTCACACTCACAGCCTACTACAGCCTCACATTCACAGCCTACTACAGCCTCACACTCACAGTCTACCACAGCCTCACATTCACAGCCTACCACAGCCTCACACTCACAGCCTACTACAGCCTCACACTCACAGTCTACCACAGCCTCACATTCACAGCCTACCACAGCCTCACACTCACAGTCTACCACAGCCTCACATTCACAGCCTACCACAGCCTCACACTCACAGCCTACTACAGCCTCACACTCACAGCCTACCACAGCCTCACACTCACAGCCTACTACAGCCTCACACTCACAGCCTACTACAGCCTCACACTCACAGTCTACCACAGCCTCACATTCACAGCCTACCACAGCCTCACACTCACAGCCTACTACAGCCTCACACTCACAGTCTACCACAGCCTCACACTCACAGCCTACCACAGCCTCACACTCACAGTCTACCACAGCCTCACATTCACAGCCTACCACAGCCTCACACTCACAGCCTACTACAGCCTCACACTCACAGCCTACCACAGCCTCACACTCACAGCCTACTACAGCCTCACACTCACAGCCTACCACAGCCTCACACTCACAGCCTACTACAGCCTCACACTCACAGCCTACCACAGCCTCACACTCACAGCCTACCACAGCCTCACACTCACAGCCTACTACAGCCTCACACTCACAGCCTACCACAGCCTCACACTCACAGCCTACCACAGCCTCACACTCACAGCCTACCACAGCCTCACACTCACAGCCTACTACAGCCTCACACTCACAGCCTACCACAGCCTCACACTCACAGCCTACCACAGCCTCACACTCACAGCCTACTACAGCCTCACACTCACAGCCTACCACAGCCTCACACTCACAGCCTACTACAGCCTCACACTCACAGCCTACCACAGCCTCACACTCACAGCCTACCACAGCCTCACACTCACAGCCTACCACAGCCTCACACTCACAGTCTACTACAGCCTCACACTCACAGTCTACTACAGCCTCACACTCACAGTCTACTACAGACTCACACTCACAGCCTACTACAGCCTCACACTCACAGCCTACCACAGCCTCACACTCACAGTCTACCACAGCCTCACACTCACAGCCTACCACAGCCTCACACTCACAGCCTACTACAGCCTCACACTCACAGCCTACTACAGCCTCACACTCACAGCCTACCACAGCCTCACACTCACAGCCTACTACAGCCTCACACTCACAGCCTACCACAGCCTCACACTCACAGCCTACTACAGCCTCACACTCACAGCCTACCACAGCCTCACACTCACAGCCTACCACAGCCTCACACTCACAGCCTACTACAGCCTCACACTCACAGCCTACCACAGCCTCACACTCACAGTCTACTACAGACTCACACTCACAGCCTACTACAGCCTCACACTCACAGCCTACCACAGCCTCACACTCACAGTCTACCACAGCCTCACACTCACAGCCTACCACAGCCTCACGCTCACAGCCTACTACAGCCTCACACTCACAGCCTACCACAGCCTCACACTCACAGTCTACCACAGCCTCACACTCACAGCCTACCACAGCCTCACGCTCACAGCCTACTACAGCCTCACACTCACAGCCTATCACAGCCTCACATTCACAGTCTACCACAGCCTCACACTCACAGCCTACCACAGCCTCACACTCACAGCCTACCACAGCCTCACACTCACAGCCTACCACAGCCTCACACTCACAGTCTACCACAGCCTCACATTCACAGCCTACCACAGCCTCACATTCACAGTCTATCACAGCCTAACATAGGGACTGGAGTGGGACCGGGGGGGATGTCGGTACAACATTCAAGAAGCTCGCTCCGTTATTTCAACTTCCACGCCAATCAAACCGGCGACCTTCGGCTCCCCAGTGCATGTGGAGCTGCTGCCGCTGCTGCTGCTGCTGACCAATGCAATACGTGGAGGGGTTATGGGTGGGGGGGGTCCAGGTCTCCCCTGACTCCTCCAAAACCCCCCAATTGCCGGTGACACGAAGTGGTGGCGGCGGAGGCGTTTGGGGGTGAACGGTTCCACGGACGCACGCCACTCAACCACCCACTGCTACCCCCCCCCCCACCAACACACCACCACCCCCCCCAACCACAACGCGTCGCGATCCAATCCGCTTGATGTCAGCACTTTCCTCCGGCACTTAATGGCCGGTAATTGCACGTTCCGCCAAATTGGGCGCCCGCTTAAAATGCCAGGCAGCGTGCGACGGTGTCTCATCATCCCGCCACAACCACCACCACCACCAACAAGCAGGCATATCAACATCACAACCATCTCCTGCTGTTTAAAATTCAGCTTCAAGATCCTCAACGGATCTGGCGCGTGGCCTACCTCTCAATCGACTCCCCTCTCACAATGTTACAATAAAAAAGATCGTCTCTTTGAACTCACAAATGTTGCCCCTTTTAATTTCAAGATGCCGTTCGGACTCGCGACAAAATGTGTAGGTTATTTTTTTTTTTACTCGATGACACATTCAACACCGTGCCTATTCCCTAAATAGCAATTACTAGATGTTGCAAAGCATTCCCCATATCGCCGTTTTTGTTAGCGTTTATTTGCCACAAACGCCCCGTAATTTATTTCTCCTTATTAGCGTTAATTCGTTTCAGGGGTAATTACTCACTGTTTTAATCAGCGGCAGTAATTACCACAACTCGATAGAAGTTTTTAATTTATCTTGTAAAATGGGGCTGGGAAATGTCATTACGATGACGACGATAGCGACGATGACGATGGCGATGATGATGGCGATGATCTGTCACGTTGCATTGTGGAAGCACGCACACTGACACTGTGCGCGCCGTGAAAAAAAAAAAAAACATTTAAATTTCGATTTAAAGCTTTCGTGACTGCAGGGATTCATCTTCTTGGTTCTTTCGGTAAAGTCACGTAAAAGGGGAAATAATAAAATAATAAAAATAAAACATAATAAAATAATTCTCACGACGTTTCGGCCACAACGCAAGCAGCCGTCCTCAGGGGAAGAACAGGTCTGTCGGAAAGACAGCGTTTGAATGACGCAGAACAGGTCTGTCGGAAAGACAGCGTCTGAATGACGCTGTCTTTCCGACAGACCTGTTCTTCACCTGAGGACGGCTGCTTGCGTTGTGGCCGAAACGTCGTGAGAATTATTTTATTGTTTTATTTTTATTATTTTATTATTTCCCTTCTGCGTGACTTTACCGAAAGAACCAAGAAGATAAAGAAACATTTACTTTCCGAGCGGGCGCCAATGGTGGCGAGATGTTAACTACCTCGCCCGGAGGTCGTGAGTTCGATCCCAACCCTGATGTCCTCTGTACGTTTGAACTTTACATGTCTCTCTCTCTCGCTCATCGTCATCACGGTATCTAGGTGATGTTAACTACCTCGCCTGGTATACAGGCTCCCCCCTGCGGCCATGTGGATTTTTTTCTCCGGTTCCTCCGTTATTTTTTCCCCCTCCACATTTAGAATCGACGTTTCGTTTTGGAGCATTTGGCTGCTGTAACATTTCCACGTGATTATGATGATGATGACAGGCCACTTCGTTGAGCTATCATTTGTGGCCCGGTTGCTTCTCAAAAAGAGCTATGCAAGCTCAGTGGCCCATTCCTGGTTAAATACCAAATCTTTCACGGTTCTTTTTTTAAATAGGTGAGCAGCAAGCAGCAAGCGCACCAGACTTGCAATCCAGATATCGCTGGGTTCGATTGCATCTCCCGGGCACGGCAGTCTGGGAGACATAACGTAACACCGCTCGGATATTTTTCACCCGGAGAAAGCCACACACACACACACGCCAATGCCCGAAGCATCGCTTCCGGAAGGCTCCCCCGGCTACATTTGGGAAGGTTTTGGCCAACGCCGGTGACACAGCGAGGAGGCCGATGAGGCTGGCTTGTAATGACCGGCGAGACGTTACAGTACTCGAATTGTGAATGCTCTGGGTTTACTCTCCAGCACACCGGCGTGCTGAACTGGTAAACTAATCGGCACGTCTTGTTTACGTGACAAAACCTTACTAATTGGCTGCGTCAGGTGGTGGTGGCGGGTTTAACGACAGGTTTACATTCACGCGATCTAACCCACGCAAAAATAAAAAAAACTTCTATTAAGGACAGCAAGGAGTACGTACCTCCTCGCGACCTCCGGCGTGGAGTACCCGCTCACCGCGTCGCTGGCATCCTGCACACACCGAGGGGACACGACGCACCGGCGTTTAGCCACACACCGCCCGCCCCTCCCTTGACACCGACGGGCTGGTGAAACCGGCAGCCGAAGAACCGGCAAGAGGTCAAATAGGCGCAGCCCCTGCGGTTGCTCGATGGCACTGAGGACCAAACGGCTCTTCCACCAGAGGGTGAGCTTCGGGGTGGTATTTTTGGTGTGCTCTTCCACGCTGGACGCTAGGACTCGCCATGATGTTAGCCGTGAGAGTCGAAGCGAAGCTCGCTGTGCTCATAATGACCGCACCACTGCTCCGTCATCATCAAAGCTTTACTCGGCCCTTAGGGCAATGTGACCAGTCTCCTGAAGGGTAAGTAACTAATAGCAACACAACGGTATAGACATGGCGCGGATGATGATGATGATGATGGAGTGCATGATGATGTTGATGATGATGATGGAGTGCATGATGATGATGATGATGGAGTGCATGATGATGATGATGATGATGGAGTGCATGATGATGTTGATCAGAGTTGGCAATCGCACTTGTTTACACCGTGAAGGCCTGATGAGAAAAACATTTTAGAAACTTTTTTGATGAGCAGAAAACCATCCCATCGCATCATCTTTACGAGAGCTATCGTGGCCTCACGTTACAGATGGACAAACAGATGGACAGACGGATGGATGAATGGATGGATAGACGGATGCACAGATGGATGGACTGATGGATGGATGGACGGATGACGGAGAGACAGAGTTCATCTATTGGCACATAGGTGAGAGAAGCGCCGTCATGTCCCGACTCCCACCTCAAACGGTGCCGGGCAGCCGTGCAGGGCGCAGTCCTCCTCCAGCTCCTGCGGAAACAACCCAGAGAGAAGCACGGCTCAGAGGAGATCCTCCCAGCAGCGGTGCCATTGCCAAACGACAACTCGGCACGATTGAGATGATGACGGTGATGAGAATCGGATTTCTTAGTATCCTCCTGCTGCTGCTGCTACATTGCATTTATATTTTAAAGATGTGTCTTTTTTCCAGCAGATTAACGACGCATCGTGTTGATTATTCACGTGGAAACCTGGAGCACCCGGAGAAAACCCACGGCTTGTGCGAGGGGACAACGCTCTATATCCCTGCACAGATGGCGATTCGTCCACTTGCTGTGGTGCCTTGTACTGGCGAGCCAGAGTACGGCTCCTCTTCGATGCCCACGGTGGAAGGGAGTTTCACAACCCACCTGTGTGCTTATCCGCCAAACCTCACTGCTGCCTCCACAGTGCTGGGTTACAGGCGGTCAAGTGTAGCAGCGTAGCCATCACCGATAACAATGTGCAAAGAAAATCACGTATGTGGCATTCACGTTTCAGACGTTTCGGACAAAGGCCCTGCTTCAAAGCAAAATTTTAATAGATTGTTGTTGTTAATTGTGCTTGTGCACTGCTGCCAACGTAGCAGTAGCATCATCACCAACATAATTTGTTCAATTATATAAATGATGCGTCTTCATTCGGAGTTGTTAATCTAGCCTCACGCTTGGGTGTCTGGTTGAGAGCACCCATCGTCACGCTCGCCAACTGTCCCATCCCACACTCATCACCAGCATCCCACACTCATCATCAAGATCCCAGACTCATCATCGTCATCCTACACTCATCATCATCATCATCCTACACTCATCATCATCATCATCCTACACTCATCATCAAGATCCCAGACTCATCATTATCATCCTACACTCATCACCAGCATCCCACACTCATCAAGATCCCAGACTCATCATCGTCATCCTACACTCATCATCATCCTACACTCATCATCATCATCCCAGACTCATCATCATCCCACAACAGTAGCATAACGAGCGTGGGCACACAGGCGCGTGCCTTGCCCCCCCCTGGTGGCCAATGCTACGAGTTGGGGACCCCCTTGACAACCACCATGAGATTTGTTTTCAACAACAGTGTAAAAACACTCAAACTTATGTAAGGATGTTATTAAGCAAGAGGAGCTGCGGTGTATAATCGCCTGGGTGCGACCATGCGAGACGAATCAAATATTGGGGCCCCACCTGACGGATTGCTGCACGCCCTGAGCTGATAATGTCGCCACTGTCCCACATCATCATCAACATACCACACTCACCATCATCATCAACATCCCACACTCACCATCATCATCATCATCAACATCCCACACTCATCATCATCATCATCCTACACTTATCATCATCATCATCCTACACTCATCATCATCAAGCTCCCACACTCATCATCATCATCAACATCCCACACTCACCATCATCATCATCCTACACTTATCATCATCATCATCCTACACTCATCATCATCAAACTCCCACACTCATCATCATCATCAACATCCCACACTCACCATCATCATCATCCTACACCCATCATCATCATCATCCTACACTCATCATCATCAAGCTCCCACACTCATCATGATCATCATCATCCCACATCATCATCTTCATCATCACCCCACACTCACCATCACCATCATCATCAAGCTCCTACACTCATCATCATCATCCTACACTCATCATCATCAAGCTCCCACACTCATCATCATCATCATCATCCCACATCATCATCTTCATCATCACCCCACACTCACCATCACCATCATCATCAAGATCCCACACTCATCATCATCAAGCTCCCACACTCAGCATCATCAAGATCCCACACTCATCATCATCATCAAGATCCAACACTCATCATCATCAAACTCCCACACTCATCATCATCATCAAGATCCTACACTCATCACCATCATCAAGATCCCACACTCATCATCATCATCACCCCACACTCATTATCATCCTTTACTCGCCAAAAAGGTCCCACACTCATCATCATCAAGATCCCACACTCATCATCATGATTAAGATCCTACACTCATCATCATCATCATCATCAAGATCCCACACTCATCATCATCACCCCACACTCATTATCATCCTTTATTCGCCATAAAGGTCCCACACTTATCATGATCATCCCACACTCATCATCAAACTCCCACACTCATCATCATCAAGATCCAACACTCATCACCATCGTCAAGATCCAACACTCATCATCATCGCTGGCTTTGGTGAAACAACTCTGAGCGGTTGCAAATGTCACGATTTTCACTCGCTCGGCGTTTACCACCATCATCAACATCAATCATCATTAGCCATGATCAATCCACTGCTAGATGACGACCTCCCCAAAGCCACCGCCGCCGCCGCGACCACGTCTCGTCTTTCATGCGATGCAAGACTCCAAACGAATTAGAAAAAAAACATTCAATTTGAACCGAACCAAACGCTCGATTACAGACATCCCACGTGGCCCGATCGGACGCGCTCAACCGGTTCAGCGGCTGTGTGCTCCGCCCACGTGAACCACTCCCAGACACGCAGCAAAATGCTGCAAGGCGGTTGTCCGTCACCCCGCCGCCACCACCACCCACCCGTGGAGCCCCGGGAACAGCAGGCTGCACGCGGGATTCATTGCAGCAAGGACCGTGTTTCTCCCAACAAACAGCGTGGATGATGCACTCGCCAAAGTGATGGGCACATTTCGATTTAAAGCTTTCGTGACTGCAGGGATTCATCTTCTTGGTTCTTTCGGTAAAGTCACGTAGAATGGAAATAATCAAATAATAAAAATAAAACATAATAAAATAATTCTCACGACGTTTCGGCCACAACGCAAGCAGCCGTCCTCAGGTGAAGAACAGGTCTGTCAGAAAGACAGCGTCTGAATGAACTAATTCATTCAGACGCTGTCTTTCTGACAGACCTGTTCCTATTTTTATTATTTTATTATTTCCATTCTACTTGACTTTACCGAAAGAACCAAGAAGATGATGGGCACATCTTGGGGGGGCATCGAGGTTGCTGCCCTGGAAAAGGAACTCACAGGGAGTCCTCGAATTCCCCGAATTAAGTGAAAGCCAAAAGTTTCGATTTTTTGTCTTAATCGATGAGTGGACCCCGGGGCCAAGTATATCAACTCTCCGCACTTGCAGAGCCCCGGTTTCATCACGGGTAGGGGCTGCAAACCGGGATCGGAATTCCGAGCCGTTCTCTGCGGAGGCGGCTCGGCCACCTGCCGCTGAGAACGAACGGCCTGGGGGATGGTGGTGGTGGTGGTGGTGAGGGGGCGGCCATCAGCCGTGTTTGTGGAAACTCCACTTGGAGGGGGAATTTGGCGAAATTCCCACCCACCCAACCCGGCGGGAATTTCCAAGGCGAGACGAGCTCCACGTGCAACTCGGTGACGTATCCACCGCTGCGGAGTGGGAGCCGGATGGACGGACGGACAGACGAATGGACTGACGGATTGACTGACTGGACGGATGGATGTACGGATAGACGATCAGATGGACGGACGGACAGACGAACGGAGTGACCGACCAGACGCACTGTCGAACAGACTGACGGACGGACGGACCCACCGACTGACCGACTGATAGGATGGAAGGACAATCGAACAGTTGGACGGAGGGACAGACACACGATCAGACGACTGACGGACAGATGGACGGACGGGGACCTCGGGGCGTGCTTTTAGGATTGCGCCGCGCGTCGTTTCGGGCACCACGTCCGACGTTTCGCTCCACGTGCCGGGAGCTACTCCGCAAAGGTCAACGGAGGAGGTGGTGGTGGTGGTGTGAATAAATAACGACGCCAGCGGTGATTAGGATCGTCGTAAAACAGTGTCATGATTATCATCGCCCATGTCATCATTATTATCGTCACCATCATCATCACCGTTACATCATCATCATCATCATAATTTGTTTCTCAGATGCCAAACACGCAGAATGAAGCTGGTGTCGGGCAAACTTTCCCTGCAAGTGACTCTCACACACAGACACAGCAGCAGCAGCAGGAGGCATTGCCACCCCGACGGCAAACACATGCCAGGAGCCTCCCGATAACAAAGAGTCTTGAGACTCAGCGAGGCTGCCGGACCCAAACAAGGGAGTTTCACAGACAGAGATCCCCCACTCATAAGCCACAACATACTTTTTTGGGGCAAGTACTCTTCAGTTTTGATTTAGCCATATTTGTTTGTACAGAGTTAGACTGATAACTTTCATCTAAATTGGCTTATGGTTGTTATTGTTTGACTTGCAAGCCACTGGGATTTTTGCACACAGCATTGATATACGGTGCTTTTTCTGGAAGACTTTGCTGTTTTTTCCTGGATGTTTCGCGTAGTAACTTTAAGATGTTTCTTGTTCATGTTTTTTTTTGTTGCGGTTGCACCCGATTCAAGAGCTGAATGGCTCACAGGGCTATACCTAATAAATGAAACTGAAATTGAGCCAGTAGCACCTATTAAGGTGGGTCACCAGAACCACGCCTTTGTCTGCAGATATTGACACACACAGCAGTGGGTACCACATGTTTAAAGCAGAATCGAACTCAGTGTCCGGGTTTGCAAGTGCAGCGCAGATAGAGTGCAATGACGAACGGCACACGAAGAGGTGGGTGGCCAGCAACCACGCCCGGCCGCCTTTGTCTCCCTAGTGGCGATGTTTACACTCATCACTGGTGTTGGCCGTGAGCGGGAATTGAACTCGGGTCGCCGGGTTCGTAGCGGAGTGCGCTAACCGCTACACTACAGGGCTACACGCACACACGCACACACACACGCATGCACATGCATGTAATGTATCTTCCATCCATGCTAAGGCACCAATGCAAAACACAGACCGGCAGCGTCTCGGCCAGATGTGGCGACTCCGTGACTCACGCCGCGAACGCTCAGCACAAAAAACACAATCCCACCAACACCACCACCAAAACCACCACCACCGCCGCCGCCACCGCC